GAGGCTGGCTTGCAGTCCGCTGCTTGGTGCCCTGCGTCAGCTCCCCAGGGCCGCGGGGCTGCAGCGACTGCTGTTCATCAACAACGCGGGCTCTCCTGGGGATGTGTCCAAAGGCTTCGTGGACCTGGGTGACTCCACTCAAGTGAACAAAGACTGGGCGCTGAACTTGACCTCCATGCTCTCTCTGCCGGACTTGCAGCGTCCTGAAGGCCTTCCCAACCAGTCTTGGCCTCAACAGAGCTGTGGTTAACATGTCAACCCTCTGTGCCCTGCAGCCCTTCAAAGACTGGGCGCTGTACTGTGCGGGAAAGGCTGCTGCTAACATACTGTTCCAGGTCCTGGCGTCGGATGAACCTAAAGTGAGGGTGCCGAACTAGGCCCCAGGTGCTCCCGACACAGACGTGCCCCAGCGGTTAGCCCGGTAGACCTCCATGGACCCAGACGTGCGAAAAGGCTGCAGGAGCTGAAGGCAAAGGGAGAGCTGGTGGATTGCAGGGTGTCAGCCCAAAAACGGCTGAGCTTGCTGCAAAAGGAGGTGTTCAAGTCTGGAGACCACGTGGATTTCTACGATAAATAAACCCATGTGTTTGGCTTCCTGAACCTTTCTGCTCCCACTTTCAGACACACCCCAGAGCCCCGTGGCTCCCCACACCCTCCCATGGTGGCAGTCCTGCCTTACACAGATAAACACTCATGTCTGCTGTCCTACCCTCACACATCGCCTGCTGTGATGAGCTTCCAGGTCGCTGGCCTTACTAGTTATCGGGAGTCTGGACTTGGCACCCTGGATTATGAGGCGGCTTAGGAGAGAGGTTATGGGTGTCCCTGTCTCTATCCCTAGGAATAGAATTTAAGGGATGGGAAGAGCAGGAAAAGAAGCTGAAACACACCAGGGAGGAGGTTGTGTCTCCTGCTCATAGCTCGTCCATGGGGAGAGGGAAGAGTGACCTGAGTCAAATAGGAGGACACATGCAGATTCGCAGATGGCCTGGCGGGGAGGAAGAGCAGAAGGTACAAGTCCCCGCCCACACAGATGTCCCTCGCTGAAGGGAGCAGCACCTTCTGTTGAACTTTGTGTCCTCACTCTAATGTCTCCTTCCTCCAGAATCCACCATCCCTCCCCCAGGCTGGGAGAAGGGGCCCTTGGGTGTCTGTGTACATGGCCAAGGCAGATACAAATAAAATTTAAAAAAAAAAGAAGAAGAAGAAGAAGAAGAAGAAGAAGGGAGAGTGTTACCTAACCTTTTCAGTTAAGGCAATATTGCTACCTTTCATGGAGTGAGTGACTGAAGTCAAGAAGGAAGCCCTGCTTGGGATTAGAGAAACTGAAAAGAAATACGATGACTCATTAAAACAGTTTCAAAACCATAGAAAGGTCAATAATTTAACGCAAATATTAATTAAATGCCTAGAAAAAGAAAAGAGAGGCAAAAGTGAATGAAGAACATCTACTACCCTTCATGTGTGTCAACCACTGAGCTACAAGTTTTACCTGTATGAATTGAATTGATTTTCATAACCCTATAAGGCAAGTACTATTTTTATCCACTTTTTACGTATGAAGAAATCGTGACACGGAGAAGTTTAATAACCTGCCCAAGGTACACACAGTAGAGCAGTCAGATTCCAGTTCACTAACTACTGCTCTATCCTCTTCCTTGGCACTACATACCAGTGACTGCTGGGGCAACAAAAATGTAGAAAACATGGTCCCAGTCTTTAGAGGACTCATGGGGATACACCAGACAATATTGTGACTTTGGGAAAGTGGCCTAATATTTCTAAATAAAATGGAAATTAATAATCCCTTTAATGTCCTCCTTACAAGGCTCATTTATTTATCCCATAAGTTCTTACTAAATATCTCTTATGTGTCAGGCACAGTACTGAAAGTTCCTCATGGAGCATATATTCTAGAAAGAAGGCAAGGCAATATTCATGTAAAAAATAGCCACCGGGCATGGTGGCTCACGCCTGTAATCCCAGCACTTTGGGAGGCTGAGGTGGGTGGAGTTCCAGACCAGCCTGACCAACATGGTGAAACCCCATCTCTACTAAAAACACAAAATACAAAAATACAAAATACAAAACACAAAAATACAAAAAATTAGCCGGGTGTGGTGGTGCATGCCTGTAATCCCAGCTACTTGGGAGGCTGAGAAGGAGAATGGCTTGAACCCGGGAGGCGGAGGTTGCAGTGAACTGAGATCATGCCATTGCACTCCAACCTGGAGAAGAGCAAAATGCTGTCTCAAAAAAAAAAAAAAAAAAAAAAAAAAAGCAGGGCACAGTGGCTCACGCCTGTAATTCCAGCACTTTGGGAGGCCAAGGTAGGCAGATAGCCTGAGGCCAGAAGTTCGAGACCAGCCTGGCCAACATGGAGAAACCCTGTCTCTACTAAAAATAAAAAAATTA